GGGAGGGGGAGGGATAAAAATCTACCTGTCAGGTATAACGTGTGCTATTCTGGTGATGGCTACACTGAAAGCCCTAACTTCCGCATGATACAATTCATCTATGTAACAAAAGTACATTTGTACACCCTAAATTTTTTTGAAATAAAAAAAATTCAATGACATAGCTAGGTTAAAATAAAAAAATGAAAAAAAAAATAACACTTTCCAGAAGTCATGCATGACACTTCTACTCATATCCCATTGGCTAAAATTTAGTTACATGGCCATATCTAGCTTCAAAGGAGGCCAAGATTTAGTGTTCGTTCTGGGTAACTATGTACCTCACTGAAAATTAGGGTTCTATTACCAAATAATAAAAGATAATACTGGAAGGCAACTGTAAGGTTTTTGCCATGTGTTCCCTCCTCAAACAACTACTGGAATTCTTCCTAAAGCAGGGTGATTCCTTACTCCACCTTCTTTCAGGACTCCATGACTTACCCTAATCTTCTCTCTACCCAAGTCATGCATCCTGGGATCCATACAGTAGCTCACAAATGCAAGTTGGTGCCCAGCTGGCTGCAAATGAATCTCCTGAGTAATTTATTGAAAATACAGATTCTTGGGCCTCAAAACTTTGAGATTCTGATTTAGTGAATCTGAGAAAGGTTCCTGAAATCTAAATCTTAAAAACAAAAACCTCTAAATGATGCTGGTTAATGAGTATGTTCAATCTGTAAAAGTGCATCAAGTTTACACTTACAGTATATTTACAATATATGCATTTTTCTTTATGTATATTATGCTTCAATAAAAGGAATTTTTAATGTTAAAAATAAGCTTGAAGAGGAGAAAGATTAATATTAAAGTATAAATAAATGAAATAGAGAACCATAAATAAAAGTTGAATAAGAAAACAAAGAACTCTTTTTGTTTTGTTTTGTTTTTCAGAGGAAACTCTATTTTATTTTACTTACAAACAGTAAAATTCACTTTTTTTATGTACAGTTCGGTGAGTTTTTTATATGTATAGATTTCTTAACTATCACCATAGAGAGGATGCAAAACAGTTCCAGCACCAAAGAGTTCTCTCCTGATGCCACTGTGCATTCGCACCCTCCTCACTCCTAAGCTCTGGCCAACATAGATCTGTTCTCTACTGCTTTTTTGTGGGGGAGGAGGAGAGCGCATTTCCAGAATATTATATAAATAAAATCATATAAGATATAACCTTTTAAGTTTAAGTTCTGTGAGCATAACTCTTTGAAGATTTATCTAAGTTCTGATGTGTATCAGTAGTTCATTCCTTTTTATGGTTGACATTATTCCATTAGACATACCACAGTTTATCTGTTCATCCACTGAAGGACATTCTGGATGCTTCTGGTTTCAGGTAATTATTATTAATAATAATACTGCTATAAACATTTATGTGCAGGTTTTTGTGTGAACATAAACCTTCACTTCTCTAATGTGCATACCTGAAAGTGAGATTGCTGGGTCGTAAGGTAAGTACATGCTTAGCTTTTTGAGAAACTGCCAAACTGTTTTCTAGAATGGCTACACCATTTTGCAATCCTATCAGCAATGTATGACAGCTCCTTTTGCTCCGCATCCTCATCAGTGCTGAATTATTATCAGTATTTTTTTATTTTGGCCTGACTCTATCTCCTGGTGGTTTTAATTTCCATTTCCCTAATGACTAAAAAGACAGAAGATCTCTTCATATGCTTATTTGACAATTTGGCATCTGGAAAGTACTCTCCAAACTGACTGATAAAATAGCTAAATCTTTGGCAAATCTGATGAAGAAAAAGAGTAGACACAATAAAACCACATTAGAAACAAGAGTAAGGACATAACCACAGGAAAAAAATTTAATTATAGGAACATAGTCATTATAAGTTTTACCCACTACATTTGAAGATCTAGATAAAATAGGTGGTTTTTTGGGAAAAAAAACTTTAAAAATTTAGTTAAGAGAGAAAATTTGAAAAAAAAGTCAAAGAGCCACTGCTAATACAATAACATTATGCCCAGATTATTTTAAAGGTAAATTTTATCAAGATCTTTGAAGAACAGATAATGTCTATGTTCTGAACTGTTACACAGCACAGAAAAATCTGGAAAATTTACTACCCCTTTTTTTAAGGATTAATCAACTCTTATACCCAAACCCAATAAGGATACTACACATTTAAAAAACCCCAAAAAACTACAAGCCTATTTTGCTTACAAATATAGATACAACATTCCTAAGATGAACTAAATGCAATAAACTAAAACAAAATTCTTAAATAGAAGATTAGAAAATTGAATCCAGTATCATTAAAGAATACTATTAATGCAATCATATCTAAGTAAGATTTATCCTAGGAATTGGTGGTTGATTTAACATTTGGAAATCCTGGTATTAACAAAGGACAGAAAGTATGGGATTATCTAAACAAATTTTGCAAAAGCATTTGATAAAATTCGACATCTACTCCTGATCAAAACTCTCACTTAAGAATGGAAATTTCTTTAAACTAATAAAGGGTATAGTCTAAAAAACAATTGCAAACAACACTTGACAATAAAACATTAGAAGCATTTTCACTAAAGACAGGCACAAAACAAGATTTCCCCTATCATGACATCTTTCTATTCACTATCATACTAGAAGTTCTAATCAATATACTAAGCGAGGAAAATAAATAAGGGGAGGCGACATTATTTGCCTAAAGAATCCATGAAAATCATCTCCATTCAGTAAAGTGGACATAAGATCAAATATAAAAACAAGTAGTTTTCTTTCACAGCACCTCCAATATGATGTAATGGAAAAAGGATTACATTAGCAATGAGAATAAAACCCTAAAACAAAACAAAACAAAACAAAACTAAGAATAAACCTAGCAAGAAAGGTTTAATAACAGATAAGGGAAATAACAAAACCTCGCTGAAGGACATAAAGAAGATATGAGTAAATGGAAAGACATATGGTGTTTCTCTATAGAGAGATTCAATATTAAAGGAAATTGATGAGGCCAGGAGTGGGTGGCTCACGCCTGTAATCCCAGCACTTTGGGAGGTCGAGGCAGGAAGATTGCTTGAGGCTAGGAATTCCAGACCAGCCTGGGCAACATAGTGAGACCTTGTCTCTACAAAAAATTAAAAAGAAAAACAAAAAGGAAATTGATGAGCTGATTCTTAAGTTCATATGAAAGAGGAAATCATAGTAAGAGCCAAACTTTTTGGAAAATTAATTATGGAGTATTTGCCCTAACAGCTCTCAAAAGGTATTGTAACAGTATAATGATTAAAATAGTGCTATTGACCCAGAAACAAGACTACCAAGTTGAGAGAAGAAAATAGAATGAAAGCAGACCAATGAATATCTGACAATTTAGTTTATGGAAAGGGTAGCATTTTGGAAAAGCACATTTTGAAAACACATTGTAGAATTGGGACAATTGTCTATCAATTTGGAAAAGAAAATCAGTCTTCTTCAATTCATACACCAAAAAAACAAAACAAAACAAAATAAACAAAAAACTCCATATGTCCTAAAGAGTAAAGGGTAAAAATGAAGCTATAAGAGTATTAGAATATGAAGAATATTTTAGTATATTTTAAGTAGGGAAGGCATTTCTAACAAAGAAATAAAACTAAGAACCTATAAAGGAAAAGATTGACAAGTTGGACTCCATAAAATTAAAGTGTTCTATGCAACAACAGATATGCATAAAATCAAAAGATAAATGACAGAAAGGGAATATATTTGTAACATATTTTATAACATACTTTACAAAACTATGTTAATATTTAAAATATATGAGTGGTGACAAATCAATAAGAAAAAGACAACAACATAATAGAAAAATATGTAAAGTATATTATCAATTACTTAATTGCAGTTGAGAAATGTAAATAGAAAGAAAAATGAGATATACTTTCTTATTTATCAGACTGGCAAACATCAATAGAATTAATATGAAATGGTGGTGGTGGGAGTGTAAATTTGGTGAAAACTCTTGAGAAGGCTGTTTGGAAACATGTCGAAATTTAAAAAGTAAACACTTCTATAATGAAAAATCCAAAGTAGGAGCCTACTTTGAAGGAAATATTTTTTGTATGTATCAGTTCTTAAGTTTATTAAAAATTAATCATATTATAGAATGTTTTTGAACACATAGGCCAAATATATAGAAATATTAGTAATTTAAATAAAACAAAGTAAGAAAAGCCTGTAGTAGTAAAGAATGGAATACTTAAAATGAGCCTGAGAGAAACTTCCCCCAGACAACAAATGGATTATGCAACGGTCTCCAAAAAGCCTTTGTGAAAAGTCCAGCCTTTGTGACATTTAAATGACACAGGAAATACACATGCATATCGTAAATACGCTTATGAAACAGAAGACTAAATTAGAAAATCTTTTAAATATTTTGCATCTCTTTCATGTTGTGACTTTCTGAACAATTTTATGAACAATTTTGCTATTATAGGTTGAGAAGTATCATGCCACACTTGTTTCCAACATCATGCAAAGTTCATGCAAAAGACTGAAGATATAATTAGATGTTAGATTTATTACAGCTGGTTAGAAAAATAATTTCCAGATAAAGCGTGTGGAGTCCAAGGCATAGAAAGAAAACTCATTTCAAGTAAACCTAATTTTCAAAGCAATTTGTCAACCATAACAGCATAGTTTTGTACAGATACTAAATCCTGATTTTAAGTGTGAGGCATATAAACTTTCCTACTTAGGATAGGAGCTATCTGATTTTTTAAAACCTCATTCATATTTTATTTCCATTTTCAGTTTTTTTCCCTTTCCTTCCTCATGTCCAGAAACCACTAAGCCATTTAAGTACTGTGGAATGCTTACAATTCTCCACATCCCACGGAGGTAGATTATTTTCAATGGAATTATTGCCTTCTCTGTAAAGTTAATCAAGGGATGAAGCTTTAAGGACATGGATACATTTCTTTCCCATCCACAGTGACTCAGTTCTGGAAGCAAATCAAATACTGACCACAGCACCTCTTGTTCCTCTGGCACCTTTAGGACCAGTTTTCCCAATTTGTCCAGGAGAACCTCTGCTTCCAACTTCTCCTAGGGGTCCTATCTGTCCTTTATCACCCTGTGGATGACATTAGTAAGAGAGAAAAGTAAGAAAAAAGTGAGAAAAAGCAAATTTACTCTTAGATTAATGATGTCATACATCTGAATGACTCCAGAGGATATTTATTTGGTAAGCAAAATTCTATAAAGAGCAACTTTGCTTTAAGTTAACAGTATTACAGACCACCACTAACAATAATAACATACAACTCCCACACATGTTATTTTAAAGATAAAAGTAATTTTTGAAAAAGAAGATTAAAAAAATAATTTTCACCAAACAAGCAAGGGATATCTGGTGTTCATGCTGAATTCCAAATAACCAGCTTTTTTTTATTTTGAATTTTGCTATATATGTATGTATGCATGCATGTATGTATTATTATCATGAGAAAACAAAGGCCCTGTGACAAGTCTGTTTCTATAGAGAATTTCAAAGCTGCAATGATCTGTTCAATGCAAAAAGGGCTGTTCTGTATACTCAGATTGTCACTGACTGGCTAAGAGTATGCCTTCAAAAATCTGTAACATTTTTATATCATTTTACATTTTCTAAAAACTGGTTACCTTCTGTTTTCCATTAGACTGACTGACCTTTCTTTAGCACTAAAATACAGCTGTTCTTAAACAACATTGTGTTATTCATTTTCTGAAAGTGGGAATCAACCTATTCTATTATTGATAATAAAGAAGACACAAAGGAAAAAAGCTGGGAACACAGTAAGTCAGGAAATTTTTGGTATTCGTAACAGTTTCCAGGTTTTATTTTACATTCCCAGAGGTGCGGGGTTATTGTAAAGACCTGCACTATATTTTTACTAATGTTGATTTTAGACATAACACTATGTATGATGAAAGAAACTTCAATATTGGGTTATTTTCATGGGCAAGAATAGCAACTAAAAGTTATCTTGTTCATTTCTCTTTGTTGTTAATCATCCCTTCTACTGTTCAGAAGTTCTGGGAAAGATAGGCTAGGCATGTATCTGTAGAAATGCTAGAATTGGACTTTGGGAACCAGAATATGGTGTGATTTAAAGTTAATTATGATAAATATGTTCTGAACTTTCATAGTTCAAAGGGAAAACCATTCCCATGTTTCATGTTTCATCAATATTTGAACGAATTATTGATTCTATACAAAAATGAATTTTTCATTACACTACATTTAGAATTTTTAGAATCTAGAAATTTTAGAATTTCATGTATTAGAATTTTATAAATATGTCAAGTTTCTTTCGTAAAATACAAAGTAGCAAATAAAAATATTCTTGATTTGTGGTTCCTAACATATAAGAAAAATAAAATCAATCATTAACCTTTTCAACTTAGAAAAATATAACAATAAATCCAGAAACAGTTATAATCATATTCTTTTCCCCTCAAATATTTTACTAAAGTTGTTATTGAATAACACAAATGATATAGTATTTTCCTTTTATCTCTTTTCTTGCCCTTGGTTTACTAAAAGAATTTTTGGCAAATATGAGGTGAAGTAAAAGCCAAGACTTTTTTACAAGCTACAAACTGGAAAATTTGCTTTCAAATAATCAAGGTGATAAGTACTCCTAACTGGAATTAAATATTAATTTTTACAAATGTTCTTTTTTAAGCCAAATTTATAAACCTTTATTACTTGATATCTAGTGCAAATAAGAACATCACAGCATTCTATGGAGCTCTGGACACATCAGAAGAAAAAAGAACCAGAATAAAGAGATGTTAAAAAAAAAAACCCCAAAATCCCCCTAAACTTACCTTTTTTCCTGGACGTCCTCTTTGTCCTGGAATTCCCAAAATTCCTTCAGGTCCCTGAAATATTCAATATGAAAAAGGAAATATATAGTTAAAGAAAAGATGAGATGGAGTGTTTGAATATTTATATCAACAATTGAACACTAGGTAAAAATGAGGGTTCATTTTCAAGAATATTATATTTCTATAATTACTTAAAAAGAGATCATAGTGATTTAGGGGTATAGTGGTTACTAAATATAAAGTTCACACACACAAACGGGCCAAGATAGATAAAATTACATTGTTTGTTACTCTAGGAAGAACATTATTTGGTTTCAGGACAACCATTTTAATTAGTAAGGATTTAATTAAAGTAAACTCATGCCCTCTATGGCACAGGCTCTTATAAAAATAAAACAAAGTAAACCCAACTGTCTCCATTGCAGCACTTCTATGAGCTATTGTGAGCTCCGTGGAAAAAAAAAGAGTAGGACATACAGGGAGAAAAAGGAGGTAGTCATATTAAACTATTTAAAATAACATTTTCATTTCCATCTGTATTTTATTTAGCTAAAAGTAGATTAGAAGTTTTCAATATACACTTTTTTAGTAAAAAGTGGGACACCGTATGAATTTTCAGATCAATAATAGCTGGGCTTAAGTGAGATCCACAGTTAGTCAGGTTTCAAGTTCTAAAATGGTTAATAATTAATCACAACAGTCCAAGATTCCTTGCATTGGTTGGAAATGAAAATGGAAATCTCAAATTTGTGTTCCCAAAGCTTGGCAAACTGAAAAATGATGTCGACAAGAAATAAATTGTGGTTTACCGCTGTGCTATGTAGGCTCTCGATAAATATTTGTTGAACGAATAAACAGATACCTAAGGAAATGACTCATGCCTTATACTCCTGAGCAAATGCTCTTCTAGCCTCAGAAAGTTGCTGAATTTAGAGGCTAAAGCTGTTATGCTCGATTGCTGTAGCTATAGCTGCATCCAGAGGTAGAAATGATAGTTGCACTATTCGGAGAACTTCTTTGCAGTTAATGAGGCCCTTTAAAAAGAGGCTGATTAACCTTCATAGAGATTAAGAATGTGAGTTTTTAAAAATCAGACTGCTCCAATTTCATATTCTGGCTCTGGCACCTATTAGCCACATGGCCATAGGTGGAACGCTTAACTTTTAAAGGCCTCAGTTTCCTGTTAAATAAAAGGGGCATCATAAAACTCTTCAAAGGCTAAGATTAAATAAGATAATGCATGTAAAGTTTAGAAAGGACTAGACATAATGAAGTGCTCAAGAAATACTAGTTCTCACTAACTTCTGCTGTTTTTCAAAAGTGTATTATGCAACATTTAAATACATGTAAAAATGTTAAAAGGTACAAGAAGTATATGTAAAAATGTTAAAAGGTATAATAAAAACCTATGTACCACCCTCCACATTAAGAAATAGAGCCAATATATGTATACATAATTGAAGCCTCACCTACACATACAACTTTCCAAACACATCACCCTCTTTCCCCATTGAGGGGCAATCGCTGTTCTGAATTTTATTATTCCCATGCATTTCTTAATACTGTTATTCCATTTGTATGTATTCCCAAGCAATATATGGTTATTTTGCATCTTTTTATACCTAAGCAGTATCATATGTTATGTATTCTTGCGAAACCTTTTTTAAAACACATTTTGCTTTTGAAATCGTTGTGTCTTTAATTCATTCACTTTTTTATTTTTACTACTGCAGGATTCTATGTTATTATCAAAACACACTTATTTAACCATTTTTCCTATTGATTAACTTTTAGGTGTTAACAATGCGCAATAAACACCCTGTGCATACCTCTATGTGCTCACGTCAAGAGTTTTTTTAGGGTATATACTCTGAAGTTGAATTGCTGGGATGTAGGATCTATACATCTTCAATTATACTAGATATTGCCAAATTGTTCTCCAAAGTGGTTTTGTCAATTTATTTAATACATTCCCACAGCTATGTTTAAGAGTTAGTTACTCTATATTTCCTACACTGCTTGGTACTATCAAACTTAAAATGGATGCAAAATGATATGTTATTTATGATTTCAATTCATATTTTCTTATTGCATTACATATATGTTTTTATACATGTTTGTATTTTGTTCATTCTGTATATCACAAATCTCTTCTCTTAGCTTGTAGCTTATCTTCTCACTTTGTTTATTGTAACTTTTAATTAACACAAGTTTGCAATTTCAATGTCAAATTCATCAATATTTTCTTTTCATTTCTTTTAGTGTTTTGTTTAAGAGATCCTTACTGCTTCCCTTCCCCCCATGAGGTCACAACATATTCTCTTAAATCTTTTCTTAAGAGCTTTAAAATTTTGATTTTCACAATTAAATCTTTAATCAAATTGGAATTTATTTAATAATTGTGTGTGTGTGCATAGGCATGAGGGAGAATTTTTTTTTCTCTATTTGGATAACCAATTGTACTAATATCATTTACTGAATAATTCATAATTTCCTACAGATCTGCAGTGTACAATCAATTTATCAAATATCAAGTTGCAAAATATACTTAGATCTGAGTCTAGGTTATCTTTTATTTCCATTGGTCTGTCTATATGTCTATGAATGAGTATGACACTAACTTAATTACTCTAGCTTCAATAACAAGATATCAGCTGGTCAAATTCCCCATTTCACCTCCTCTACCAATCCCCACCTCTGCAGAACTTGTGTTTTAAAATTGTCTTAATATTGGCCCTTTGGTTTTTCACATAAATTTTAAAATCACGTTTCATCAATCAAGTCCTATTAAAAAAATCCCATAGGGATTTTGACTGAATTTGTCCTAAATTTATTAACTAATTTAGGACAGAACTAATTATTTATATCAAGTCTTCCTATCATGAAAATAAAATATCTGCCCATTTATCTAGGTCTTCTTTAATACAATGTTATAATTTTTTTAAATTGTAAAAATTTTCTACAAAATTTCTACAAATATTTTATTTAGATTTATTCCCAGGTACTATTTTGTTGCTAATTGTGTTGGAAATTGTATTTAAAAATAGTTTTCAAACTGCTTGTTGCTGATGAAGAAGAATGTAACCTATTTTTCTTTGTTTATTTATTTAGAGATGGGGACTTGCTATGTTGCCCAGGGTGGACTTGAACTCCTGGGCTCAAGCGATCTTCCCACCTTAGCCTCCCGAGGTAGCACTACAGGCATGTGCCACCACACCCAGCTTATTTTTGTATATTAATTTAATAGTCAGCATCTTGCTGAACTCTCATTAATTCTCATAATTTATAGATTATTTGTTTTGTTTTGCCACACTGGCTAGGACCCTATGTAAATGTTAAATAGAAATGATGAATAGTGGTAATCTTAGCTCATTTCTTAGAAGTTTTAGCATTAGGTACGGTAGTTAAGTTTGTTTTTGCTTTGGAAGCACATACGCAAAACCGGAACCATACAGAGAAGATTAGCATGATCCCTGCATAAGAATGACACGAAAATTTGTGAAGGTAAATTAAAAAAAGTGTCATAGTTAATGTATGGTATGAATATAAATTTTACTAAATGCTTTTTGTTTCATCCATCAAGATGATTTTAATTTATGATTTTCCCTCCTCCCCAATTTTATAATTTTTTAGAAAGTTAAATTTATGTTATAATACTGGGGTCAGAGGGAATTCACAAACCCCTTCATTATATCAGTGCTCCACAACTGTACTAAATTTAAGCATTCGTCTATCAGCTCACACATGGTGATGCTACCTGCCAATGAATAACTCAGTTTAGGCATCACTGTGTTTATATATGTATTTAAATATTAATAAAAACTTGTGTATCTGCAGTGCATAATCAAAATAAAAATAAAAGTTCTGATACTGGTAACAAGCATTAGTTTCATAAATGTATATAATTGAGGCATGTGGTATTATTCTGAAAGACGACTTACACATTTGGCTCTATCTTCAAACCTCCATTCTCACCTCATTTTCAGGTTAATAACCTTGCCTCATACTTCACTAGGATAGAGTAGCAATCAAACAAGAGCCGGCTCCTCTTCCTAACACCTAACCTGCTGACATCCCTGCTCTCAGGTACCCACATGTTCTGCCTCCCTTCTCTTACAGAAGAAGCAGCGCCCTTCCCTGGGGGAGGCAAGCTCCTCCCCTGTGCTCTGGAGCCCATGCCCTCTCACGTACGCAAGGCCCTCCCTTCTGAAAGAATCCCCCCTCTTACTCGCACTATTAATTTTTCTCTGCATCTGGATCATTTCCAACAGCATTCAAACAGGCTTAAAATTATTCATTAAAAAAAAATCCTCGACTTCATGTGTCTTCCTTCTTCCCTCCCTCCCTTCCTTCATGTTTCTTATGTACTTTTATAGTTCCGTTTTCTGTTCCCACTCACAGCAAAACTTTTTGAAAGACTTGTTTATGCTCATTGTCGCTATTTCCTTACTTCTCATGCTCTTTTCATTCGGGGTTTTGTTCTCACCACACCTCTCAAACTGCTCTTTTCCAGTTCACCAACTGATCTCCCTAGAGCCAAGTTCAGTGCCAGTTATTTGGCTCACTTTATTTGAAATTCTTTTATTTTTTCCCAGTCTTGAAACTCATTTAAGCCTTTGTTGTCATGGCAGCATGCTTCCCTGGTTTTGGACTAACATTTCCTTATATGCAGGCTCCTCCTCTGCCCAACCATTAAATATTGGAGTGTCCTCTTTTATCTTTTTAGGGGATATCTTCCTGTCCCCATGGCTTTAAATATAATCTGTATTCTAATGGTTCCTAAATTATATCACCTGTTCTGATTACACCACTGACCTTCTGATTACTCTACTTAAAGACATCTTTTTTTGAATTTATTTGTTTGGTTTTTGTTTTTAGAGACGGGATCTCACTATGTTGCTATGTTGTCCCGACTGGCCTTAACTTCCTGGGCTCAAGACACCTTTCCGCCTCAGCCTCCCAAGTAGCTGGAATTACAGGTTCAGCCACTGTGCCCACCTCTTTTTGATTTTTTAATAGGCATCTTAAACTTAAATTATTCTTGCATTCCCTAC